AACGCGGTCGTTCAGATTTAATAGTAATTGATTGATTTCGAAGATAGAATCTTGAAATAAACCAAAAATCGTTTACGAGGGATTTATATAAACAAAATCATAACATATCACTATATACATGTAAAATACACTTTTGTTTAAAACTTACACAAACAATTAACGTTAGGGTTTTTGTTATGTTACAGAATTAAAGATTTGTGTACACCAAATTTATGAATTACATCTTGAAAATCATTGATGAAACAACGACAAAGATAAAGTTCTTAGCATATACGTATCCAATAATAATAATGTTATGTAGCATTAATTCCAAGATGCAGTATTAATATCTTGGTATTTCGCTATTTTTAACGCATACTTTTCTTGACACTTAATTCTTATTTGTGTACGGGGTCTCATATCCGGATGAATGTTTTGTTAACATAACAATTTTACTCTAGGAGTACAAAAATCTACATTTCCAAAAAAGTACACAAATAATTTTTTTGCATAGCGATAGCCTTAAATGAGAAAATAAAGTGCAGAATATTCCAATAATAATGGATTTTAAACGAATTAACGTATTTACAAAGAGTATTTAATTTCAAATTGCATACGCATAATACATTGCTTAGGTTACACGATGGTATTGTCCGGAGCGAAATTATATTAATTATTTTAGATCATACTCTTGGTTTTTTTTTTTTTTATTCTGTTCATATAATTTGTCCGAATAAGAAATATCAGTTTTAAATTTTATTTTATTTTTGGATTTTATTATTAAATTACTTATTTAATAAATCAATTACCATCGTCTAATAATTACCTAACGCAATTAATGTATTTCCTTTACATATGAATGCATTGTATCGAACTTTCGATCCAAAACATTATTACCTTTAAGAGCTATTCTTTTTCATCGTAGCTTTTTAATTAATTAATTAATTAATTAATCAATTAATTAATTAATTACTTGTTTAAGAAAATTAATCATAAATTTAAATTTTTTTACATATTAATTATCAGAAATAAATTATTGCATCTGTTTTGATTTCTAACATATCTCTAGTATTTGGCGGTTTATGTTATCGATTAAATTAACATAGTTTAAATATTAAAAAATTTTAATACATTTTTATTTTGCGTAATGACGATAAATGACCTTTAAGAAATATCAAAGGTTATTTTTGATTAACAAGTTCTAATACAGTAAAACTCAATGTGTATTTAATAATGAATTGTAACATTAGGTAACGAAATCATTAGTTTAAATGGTGGTTGCGTGAAAACATTTGAGTAATGACATCATGATAATAGTAATTAGTTTAATATCTCGGAGAAAAGTTTTTAAAAGGGATAAGTTTAAAGTCCCTAAGATATTAATACATATAAAAGATCTGCAAAGATTTACCGTGCTTTAAAGTAAAGTAGTTACTCTAAGCAACAAAGGGCAACTTTTAAACATGACAACTATACTATTAACGCAACTAATAAATAGAGCCTGGTACAAAAGTAATCATCAGTCGTGGTCACATATATGCATTCTAACTCCAGGAGAGCTGTTTTTTATTCATAGTTGACGAGATATTGTCATACTGTATGTAGTATTACTGCTAATTAATCCAATTAATGGAATGTAATTGTTCCTTCGATAAAATGTTGTGAAAACACATGAATATATGCATAAATACCTAGCATAGAGATAGTATCTAGACCGCGCGGACATACATACACCAATAGCCAATAGCGTGCATATATGTAATCTTTCATTGATAGTATGAAATGATGACAAATGATGATAGCGCACGAACCACATGGCAAATTCAAGAGATTGAACAATTTACAAAATTAAGTTTTTTGAATCTGATGACCAAAAAGATTTGAGTCGATCAAAAACCCTACAATATAATTCAAATTATTGTCAGCTTTATTAATTTGGTTGACATGTATAATTCCCAAAAAAAAAAAAAAAAAAATGAATTATTTAATATTCTTTGTAAATATAACTTGAACTATATGTAGTCATAAGCAAATTAATTCAATCAAAGCTTCTAAACAAAAAAAATGCGACGTTTGGGCAGTGCTTGTGCGGATCCAATCAAATTATTTGATTTTTGAAATAAAGCAATTTAATTGTTTGTGAAAAATAAACACTGCACTGGTCGACCTTAGATTCTTTGAAATACAGCTTCTTGGTTTTTGTTACTGCCATGGTAAGAGTTTAAATAAACAAAAACCGTATGTTATATACGTGCTGAACTCTGATTTCCACCACGGCAAATCCATGCCTCTATTAGTATCATATATAATGTTTTTTCCTTGAATTTAATAATGTTACCAAAAAGGCTTCTTAAACAGTTTATCTTGAAAGTAAATCGCCGGCTTCTTTGCGATAATAAAATTCCCAACTCTTCACTGCTTTTTCACGATAATGGAAATCACTGGTCTCCTCTCGACAATAAAAAGTCACAAGCTTCTTCGTGATAATAGAGTCACTAGCTTCTTCACGATGATAAAGTTTTTAGTAGCTTCTAGATAATAAAGTCACTAGCTTTTGGATAGGAAAAAGAGCATGTCCATGCTTATAACAAAATTACTAGCTTTTGAATAGGAAAAAGAGAAGATTCATGCTTGTAATAAAATTAACTAGCGTTTGGATGAGAAGTGACACTTATAATAAAATTACTAGCCTCGCAACGATGAAATGTATGTGACCATATTTATAATAAAATTACTAGCCTCGCTACGATGAAATATAAGTAACCACACTAAAAAAAGAAAAAAAAGAAAATCAATTATTAAATCTTTTAGATACTAGCACTTAAGTGAGAATTACTTTATAAAATTTACGTATTCTTTTGTTTTTCAAGTGCAAAGTATGGGATTATTTGAGCAAAATCTTTATCAGTTAATAAAAGAAATGTGTGGCTCCCCTTTATATTACTGTATATTTTTTAAAATGTGGAAATTTTGTGTATAACTGAAATTTGTAAGAATGGAACCTTCGTTGCTTCTATTTGGTCATTGGTTATGCATTGTTTTTTTCTTGATTTGTGTTATCTAAAAATTGTATTAAACAGATATATTAATATTAATTGATTCAATTTAGTCTTTAGCGAGATTGATAACTTACAGGTAGAATCAATACTGTTCTCATAGATATTATAATAGATTTTAGTTTTTTTGTGGACATTGATAAAGTCATGTCATAATAGCCAGAGTACGAAACGGATAACCCAGGCATATATACGATGGTAGAAAAGTGATAAGCATTCGGTAGTGGCTTGGGTCATTATATTGTCGATTTTAACTTTGTGGAGCTTGCACATATTTTGTCCAAGCCCTGTCCACCAGAAGTAAATTTGTTATGTCGAACTGATAGGCCCATTGCCTTTGTTGACAGGTCCATTGCCTTCGTTGACGAAGCCGAAAATGTGTACTTAAGGTGATACCGATATTCTTTTTTGATAAAATCTTTGACAAAATTAAAAAAAAGAGTTTATAGCCAGAGGCTTGATTTGACTGGTTGTTTTCTTACATTGCACTTATGGTAATCTTGTATTGAAATCAAATTTTATACCAGTCTTCCTTACTTCTAAACGTTAACGTAGGAATTACTCTTCCTTATATTACATTCTATATACATAAAATTGGTTATAGAGCATTATTATTCAGTGTTATATTACGTCAAGACACATATAGGTAGATAATAATATATTTACAATATCAGAATTGGTACATAACTTTTACGACTTTTGTTTATGACTCGTTTTATTTATTTATTTATTTATTTTAAAGTAAAATACTTTCGAATCACTGATTTTACACCAAGTATATAATTCATTTAATAAACTACACATAGCTACGAAATTACGTATCGTGGCAAGAGATCATAAAGTTAAATATGTAGCAGATGTGTCGCGTACTGTTTTGCTGATCACGATCATTTTTTCACTGTTGAAAATTTTCTTTGACTTAAATAAACTACGTGTCCTGTACGTTATTAATCTTAATGACACGCACGTTTGATCGGTTAAAAATACTTTCACTAATTAAAATTTAATTCCCGGCATACTTCCGATTCATTTTGGCTCATTGAAAACGTCCTGAGGTTCGAGAACACGCTTTGTTTACATTTAAATACCGATTATGTAAGTGATCTTGTGGTTATAGGTCGTTATAGTAGGTTCGGATTTATTATAGCACCTGTAGCTGGTTATTGCAGCATTAGAAAAATGGGAAAATTACAGTGCAAACTCGCATATCGTAAATGTGTACAAGGTTGGCGGCGAAAACTAAATTCTTAAAATTCGTTAAGGTTAAGGTTAGGGTCAAAGTTAGGATCTAGAAAGAGATAGTTTATATTGTAAAATTGTTCAACGAAAACTTTTTGTTAGAGTACAAAAGGTGGCTTATTATGCTGATTTTTGAGCTTTGAGCAATTTTTGGCAGAACGAACGTTTGTTTTGAATCTTCCTGATCGTGTTACGTTACACCTAATCTTGAAATCTGATTCGTAGTTCAGGATATCTGCGCCACCTACCTTGTACACATTTACGATATGCTGCAAACTCTTGCAAAGACGTAATATACAAATTATAATTCATCAAGAACGAAAGAAAGCCACTGCCACATAATTATCACTCGAATGTTAAAACTTTAATTGTCTATTGAATATGTTCTAAATAAAATCACATCCAAAAAATTAAAATTTACCTATGCGCTAAAATTTCTAAATAGCTTAATATACCATCCCCTTCAAATACCACCTTCAAATACATAATATATATCATCTATTCTAACCGCCAAACTTTATACAAATCTTATTATAATCTAGTGTAAATCTCATCATTTCCATCATCACTATTTCTAAACCCACAATCACCCAGTGGTAGTCTGCAATATTCAACGCCATCGACACCTTCCTTATTTAATTCAAAGCCTTCACGATTCTTCCAATAACACCATTGTAAAAATATAGTTAGATCAAATACCAAGGTACCTATAGATCCTAAGATATAAGGAATACTTTCTTTTAAATAAGTTGGACTCGTTTGCGCTAATGGATTCGAGGTTATTGAGAGTGTATATGTTAAGTTCCCTAATGCGGCAAATATAAACATAAAAATTGAAAGTCCTTCAACTGATTTTCTTTTGTGCTGAAATTTTTAAATTTTCAAGATTATGAAATGTAAGTAAAAGAAATAAATTTTGACATATAAAAATAGATCAACTAACGTTTTTCCATATCTGAGGCATTCTACTTGTTAAATACAACACAGTACAAGTCCATGCAAATATTCTTCCGATAGTCTCGGCGTGATATTCAAAGATCGATTTTGATGGAATTATATAACCTATATCGCTTTCATTAGCGATCAGTGTTCGCTCAAAAAGACGTGTTGAATGAGATGTAATAGAGATTGATGAAGTTGTTGTAGAGGTTGAATAAAAAGTGAAAAATAATATAGCAAAGACCATTGTCGATCTATTATTTATTTTAATAATAAGAATAATTAGAATTGTAATAATAATCTTAGAACCTAAAAAAAAAAAAACCTACACTCTTTTATGTGTCTCATTCGTTCGTTTCGGGGGTTGGTCTTAATTCTAAAGAATCTCTT